ATTTCATGTAATGAGTCATTGATTTCATCTTCCTCTGCAAAGGTATCCAAACAAATTCTATGTTCATATTTTAATGAGGATCATAGCAGCAAGGCAACAGTTTGAATGAAACGTGGAGAATGAACTAGCCTTATTCCAGATACCTCCAGGATGAAAAGTGAGATACCTTACCGTTGGGAAAAATGTCCTCTTAAAGTCAGGTCTGCACAAAGAAAACGTCTGCTCTCATTGTATAAAAATTTTCTGTGCACAAGACAACTTAGTTACTCTGATTAGGACCTGGATAAAGATAATTCCTTTGCAGATTTATTTTTGACATCATGCTGTTTCAAGTACTTTTGCCATTGAACTTGGCTATAGTAGAGCAGCAGTATGTGATTGCATCTTGAGCAGATATGATTTCAATGGATAGTAGAGCAGCTGAGGCAGTATTGCTCCCTGGCTGCAGTCTGTGTAGTGTTACGTGTGAATAGCTGATCCTGCAGCTGAGCTGTATCTGAGTCACTGCAATGCATTTCAATGCCCAGCGTGCTTCACAAGCTACGCTCTAGTTCTTGATCCTTTTCTCTCATGCACTGCTCTTCCAGTTGGGTAAATTATGTATTCTGCAATTCATATTACTGCAGACCAATGTGGACTATTTAGATCAGAAAGAACTGTTTTCTTCTTCAAAACAGATTCCTCTTTCTATCTGACTCTAAACCTTTTTGAGAGATAAGAAATTGTAAGATCAAATTTTGTTCTTTATCTCTGCCTGTCAATGCAGCTGGCTACAGACCTGAATATGACAAAATGCTAGGAAAAGGGTTCTTGGTTCAAATATTTGGGCTGAGACAGTTCACTTTCAAGGTGCAGGAGCATTTCAAGCCCTCTCATTTGCCTAAAGAATGCTCTGATTCTTAAGAGTACCTTGTGTTTCCCAAACATAGTCTGGCAAAGGAGAGAGAAATCAGTCCCTTTGCAGAAGTCGAGTGAAAAATACAACAGAATGTCTAGATGCTGTTTTGGGTAACAAAAGAAAATCACTGATAGGCTTGGAACTTGGTTAATGCAGCTCCCAAGCTGCTATTCTCCTCCATCAAATATCAGAATGACTTGTGTATTTCATTTAAAACCTGATCTGCTGAGTGGTTTCCATGAGTGTCTATAGAACCCGGTAGGTCCATGGGGAGTTTTGATGTGTGCTGTTGCCCAGGATCTGTTGAGGCAACAGATTCCCTTTTTGCTATTGCAGCGGGCTTAAAATATGTACCTTTTCCTTTTTAGTAAACATATACTGTCTCTTCATCCTTCTTCTTGTCTCTCTATGTCTCTTTCTTTGTCTCCTTCTGTCAAAATAAATCTGACTGCCATGCACCATAGTTAACTCAAAATATTGCTAGCATTAAATGTGCCCAGACATTTTTATTAATACATTAAACTTACATGAAGTTTTTAGGCATTATAATTTACCAAGCTTACACCAAGATGGCATTTGAAACTGACATGAGCTGTTAATTAAAAAAGAGGACATTAAATAATTGTCAGTTGACATCTAAATTACTGTTTTGTTAGCTGACTGAAGCTTGCTTCAAGTCTCTTTCTATTCTCAAGTGTTAGTAAATATCCCATTGAGTTTAAGTGCCATCCCATTAAGAGCTGATTGTTTAAATCTTGATGTTATATACCTGCCTAAATAAATATTGTTAGTATTTTCGCAATGCACTGTCAGTGTCATGTGGATGTAGAAACATTTCTGGTTTAAGTATTTTGAAAGTATCAAGGGGCACACAGCAGAACGTTTCCTGATTTTAGTGGAAACCTGTTCTTGCAACGTGTTGGTTAGGTTTAGTACCAGTTCTAGCACAGAAGATGATTGTCTGCATCAAGGCATTCAGCTGATACAAGGCTGAGGAATTCCATCAACTGTGATGGTGCTGTGTTGGGTGACACCCACTCAGAAGATTTGCCAGCTAGGGGGAGAACTTGTTGAGTGGTTTGAGGAACTTGTGGGAATAATGACATGAAATTTAAAACAAAATTTGGCTGAAGGAGAATTTGCCGAGTGCTCCGTCAGTTGGACTGTTTGGTGTTTTTTTTCTTCTGAACAAATGCTAATAATCATCACTGCTCAACCAGAAAATTCAGTGGTCTGCAGAAGATATGACAGGTCTCCTCTCTGATCCTAAAGGGGTGGTATCTCAGTTATCACCAAGGATTTTAGGTTGCTTGTATCTCTGAGAGATTCAGGATGGCTGTATGATTGGTTGCAGTAAATCTAGAACCAGGTGATTTCAGATAATGGATTTTGCTTTATCAAAAGCTTTTCCAGGACTAGCCTTGTATTAGAATCCCCAGGGAATTGAAGCAAGTGGCTAAAATCAGTTTAGATCTAATTATCTATTAGTCTGGTGACCTGAGTAAATGGGAAACTATCCCTATGACCTCTGGGGAAAAATTAATCAGATAAAAATGAAAATACAGCTTGGATTTTCTTGAGGAATTTCCTCAGTATTTATAATACTGTAGCAGTTGCAATGTGAGTACTTAGCATGACCAATATTTTAACGTTCTTTCCAGAAAATGAACGGGGGGGATATTGTGATAACTTTGCATTTGTGGAGTTTGGGGAAATTTTTATTTTTATTTTTTTGATTCTCGTTGTTAAGAAAAGCTCCTTTCAGAGATACACAACCTTAACCAGTTAGATGAAGAATGTTGGAATCCAAAACATGGCATATAACCACATTCTCTGGGTCAAGGTTTGTGCTGCAATGAAAAGATGTCAACATGGGTGAGAGTCCTATGGAAGCCTATTGCGTACTTCAGCTATTACTTGTGCTATAAAGGTACAACCTTTAAGATAGTCCCATTAGGTATAGGCCTATATCAGTGCAAACTCTACCATCTAGAAAGACCATACCCTGAAGAATACTGGGAGGAAAAATTAAAAAGTGCATTGAATCCTGTGTGCTGTATTTCCTTCTGACCTTCTGAGAGTAGATTGCTTGGGTTGCAGAATGATGGTTTAAAACCAGCTAAGCTAGTTCTGCATCAGCAATCTGAGATGTAGAAAAGTACAGCTTTGTTAATAAAACAAACCACTGTACATACTTACTTGCTAAAAATTTATACTATCTTAGGGATATCTGCATTTTGCTCATACTACTAAGGATTAGTTTATAGGGGCATTTTTAAATGTTTGCTATGGGTCTGGTAATATTTTTACTTTCAGAGGTTTCCAGTAGAAGGCTCTACTGTTTTTCCAGATTAACACCTGTATTATAGAATCCCTTAATGAGCCACCAAGGAGTAATACACAGATGCCTTGAAGTGAAGATTTGTTAGTAAATTACTTGCTGCCACAGTGGAACTGAAAGCTGCAACTGATCAAGAAGCAATGGTAGATCTCTAGTTTTTTTCTACTTAACCAAAATAACCTCATCTGTAGCATCCATAGTTTTGCTCCCAAACATTGTTGAATTACAGCTTCTCTCACTTGTCAGTGTTGTTGGCTCTGAGGCAAAGAGTTTGTGTATTGTGTTATGTTTCCAGTTCTACGACTGGAATTTTGACATGAAACTCAAAACTTCAGCTTTTAGCAAATGCCTGTAGACTGGGAAGAAGAATCATCAAAGGGATCAATGTAAGGTCGTCATGAAAGATGTTAAATGTTGCTGACATGACAAAATTGGTTGCTTCCCCTAGAATGATATGAGGACAGTGTCATAGATGTTCAAACTGTCTCTGAAGGAAAAGGTAGAAAAGTCCAGTGTTGAACAGTTCATGGATCATACCATATACATTTCATCCAGACAGTAAATCTACTTCCTTCTGTCTCTGCTTTTGTCTTTGTCCCTCTCTTCCCTTTATTTCCTTTTCTCTTGACTCTGGTCTCTGGCTTTTCTGTCATGGCTTAGCTCTTTCTCATGCCCTTACCATTCATTGCACTGTCTATACTGTACTTAATGCACCAGAAAGTTTACTGGTTATTCTATGTTCTTCTAGCCATGTAGTAGTCCTAATCTGTTTTAGATTAATACACAGAAATTAACAGTGTCTTGTAGGAGTGTAGTGTGTTACTAGAAAGGAAACATTTTGTGACAGTTAGCTATGTTAGGCTGGGGAAGCCTCTCCCTGGGAAAATAACACAGGCTTCCCGGCTGGGACCCTTCTCTGTTGGACAGGCAAAACACTGAAGTACTTGCTGCAAAGGGTACTCTTGCTTTGATCTTCGACTGCGTGTTTACACATGCTGTGCTCTCTTTATGAGGGATGCCTGTGATGGGGACCTCACTCTATCTAGCTCTCTGAGAGAGGCCAAAACCCATTTCTTAGGTCACTGAGTACAGCTGATGCCTTTGGTTCCTGAGAATACTGATTAATTAATGTGTGGGGTTTTTTAGTCACCTATAAAATGTCTCAAAGGGACACAAAAAAGCTTCCACATCTGCAGATTTCCACAAGCCAACAGACAACTTGCAGTCCAGAGTTCCTGCTCCTGTACATCTCTGCCCTATTGCCTGTCCTTGGAGCAGATGAGGAGTGACCATAGCCGAAGCAGTCTAGAACTGCCTCTTATGCCTGGGAACCTGTCAGGTGCTCAAAACCTAATGTGGTCTTGCTGTTTCTGGGTAAGGGGAGGGAAGGTGAAGGTTAAAAATGCATCCCTTCCATCAAGGATGGAGACATTCTTAAACGAGTGTGCTATCACAATACATAGACTAAACTGGGGAAAAAAGAATAATAAGCTTAATTGAAAGTGTTTGGATTTACTTTTTTAAAAAGAATCTCAGTCTGCTGGGATTTCTTGCCTATTTCTGAAATGTCAAAACATTGTTCCAAGGAATTGCCTTTTTCCATGTAGATCCACTAGATATGCTGTATATCATGATCCTCTAGAGCCTTGCATGTGTTATGTTTTATCCTTCAAGTCACAGTTGTGAGGAAGCAGCAGGCATAAAGAGAGGAGTTCAGCATTTTAGTTTGTGTATCATAACACAGGGAACAACAATTCTTACCTTCTCTCCATTTTGCCATCCGACTCTAAAGAGAAAACAGAAAACTCCAGTGAGTTAAGAAACAAGGAACAGAGTTGTGATAGGCCTGCTCAGAATTTGTGAGGATGCAACCAGGAGAACGTAGTTATGGCTAGTAAAGATCCAGCCGTCCTTTCTGATGTAAAACTCTTTAATATTAGCAGTGTGATGCAACCTTCCTAAAGCTCTTCTTCATTCTTCCAGCTGGGATATCTCACGCAAATTTTCTTAAGGCTGTATCTTTGCTAATATTTTGCCTATTTTGAGTTTCATTGTAGCATATCCCCAGAGAGTCATGAGAAACAACTTTGAGGGCAGATGCTTGATGAGCATGAGGTGGAAGCAGTTTCCCCTTAGACCTGCTCTGTAGTGCTGCTAAAGAAAGCATCAACCATTCCTCATTCAGGAAGTGGCACTAGATTGTCATTTGAATCCTCCTGGGGTACCTTGGGAGTCTGTTTGAAGACCCTTTAGAAGATCAGTGTTTACTGTAAGTAGGACCGAATCAGGTCATAACTGACAGGCTGAGCTCACTATAGCAGCATTGGGTCCAGAGAGCTCACTCCAAGCTTAATGCTTGTCACAGGTTCGGGCTAAGCTGGCCACTAATAGTTAAGACCATTCCGCCCTCTTTACTAAGCAAGAGTCAGTGACTACTGCTGAAGTGGGGTGTCATGGTGCACTGCTGACTTATTAGGGCTTGACCGTTCTGGATGCTGGAAAACTACCTCTCATTTGTTACGTGAAGATTAATGCAAAGATCTAGCCACGGAATCAAATGTTTCTGGATACAGCAGACGAGCAGGTCCCAGTCCTGTGCAGCAGCCGCCTCTCCGTTCTTTCGCTGCATTTTCCTTGTTTAATGTCCGACTCATTTTTCATTGTGGAAACTGGCTACATATATCAGAATTTCTCTGCTTTGAAAAGTGGACTGCAAGAGCTGGTGCTTTTCATGCAGCTGCAAAGTGCTTTTTTGAAGTTTGCCGTTGAGATGCCATAGATGGAGTGATGCTTTCAGTCCTCAAACTTTCATATTCTAGTCCTTCTTCTTTCAGTAAGGATTGCTTCCCCTCATGTTTCATGAGATTACCTCACTGCTTCACTCCATTTCTGCTATGGTTTCCTTCCAAGGCAAATTTTCATTTGCTACAAAGAGTACAGAACTCTCCTGACAAGCAAAACATGGCTTGCAGAAGTTTGCTTTAGTGAAGTCCCGGAACTCACTTTTTTGTAGTAAAGAACAGCTTATACTGATGTTCTAGTCAATCTGTTAGTACTTTGTGCTTCTTCATTTGCCACTATCTATTGCTATTGTATTTGCTGTTATTTCAGTGGAAGAAATCATCACAATATTTGCTCTGTGAAGCACTTTGGAGTCCTGTCAAGAGGTTCTGTGCAGAGGATGGAGGGCCAGGGACCACCATTGCCTCTGGAGAGGCCCATGGGAAAAATTCAGCCACTCACTCACTTCTGTCTAGTGAAACGATGGGCGTTATTCAGTTTAACTTTTAAGATTTGGGGTTTGGATCCAAACCATAGTTTGTAAACTGCTGGTCCAAAGTCAAAAGGAACTCTTGCTACCAGAAGTTATGATGTTATATCAAAGAGCTTTTGCCTGTTTCAGATGCAAAACATGCTTTCATGTGGCAACTTGAGAAGCAGTCACAGTAGAAAAATTATAGGGAGTTTTACCATGTACTCTGAAACTGTGTATCTCAAGAGTTAGGCAGTCACATTTGAGAGAAAAGTCCAGAATCATTGAAATAAATAATAATTCTGACTAGGAATTGTGAGTAAGCCTCTTGCCCATCCTGCAAATCCAGCAGGCTTTTAACTTACATTGAATAGACAGAATTCTGTTTTAAAAATTAATTAGGATAAAAGATACCCAAGCAGCATGCTGAAGTGAATTCTGTTTCTCTTGTACAACCAAAGAGCAGAGCTAGTTATACTGAAATATGAATCTGCAGTTCTAGGGACTCCAGCACTTCAAACATTTTTTAGATATTTCTTCAAAGGAAATCCAGAGCTGTACCCAACAGTCTCTAACACTGAAGCTCAGATCTGCTGTATTAAAACATAAGATCTAGATTTCTGGATAAGAAATCAGGAGTATTTTTTCTTACCTCCAAAGACATTGTCAATCATTTGGGTTTTGATCATGCAGATTATTACTGCTACAAAACCAATTGCTAGAAATGCTCCCAGAGTCACTCCTATAATAAGATATGTGAAATCTGCAAAAATTGAAACAAGTCAGTGAGTATACACCATTAAGTAATAAATACAGACTTTGTGTTTTCATGTGACACAAGGTTTCCAAAGTTTAAATGCATCCCTAAAAAAATTAATTCTTTACAATTGCCCGACAATGCTGAACCAGACTAGATACCTGAGAAGAGTCTGCTTATTCAGTCCTCTGCATGTTATGAAACCATGTTAACCCATGGCAACAGAGCTCAATGCCATTTTATGATAATGAACAATTTTAGCTTTTGGTACATGCAGGTCTCAGCTGAGTTTTAGAGCTAGAGTTCTGCTTTTCCCCCCAAACTTAAATCCGTAAAAACAATTTAAAAGCCCCAATCACACAGCAGGACTCTGCTGTGCTGCATAAAGTACAAGCACACAATTACATTATTGTCTTCTACACAGAAAACATGTAGAAGCACAGTAATTTTTGTTATGTTTGCTTTGCCTCACCTCGACTTCCTGTCTGGAAGCAAAAATCTCACCATGAACTCACCTATTTCCTCCTCTGAGTTTCCAGAAGCACAGACCTGTGCTCTCCAAAAATCTGAAATTGAAATAGTTTAGCCTGTTAGAACATCGAGGAGAATGCTCTATATTCAAGGACAATGCTCCATCTGACTTTCCAAGGAGATGGTTGATCCTGGTAAAGCTTGAGAAAGGATCTGAGGCTTCCTGGAGTAGTGAAGTGTTAATATCCTAAGAATGTGGCCACCATATGCCAGTTTTTGGACAGAATAGAAAATACACTTTTAACATTTTATGTCGTCTTAGCCCTGTTTCCATTCCAGAGCTTCCTCACTGCAAGCCTGAGAGCTGTGTGCAAGAGAACCTGCTTTATAGTCAGAAAAAGATTACAGATGCAGTAAAGCTAATAAGACATGCTGAGAAGAGAGGATATGGTGTACCCCAGCACCCCTCTCCCGAAAACCCGAGTCCCAATCCTGCCTGTAGTTCCAGTTTTCACAATGTGATTTATTGCTGGCAGAGAACAGTCTTTTTCCTCTTGCAAGAAAATGTTATGGGCTGAAAGCAACCTTTCCAGAGACCCTCCATGCCAAGTTCCGTGTTCATCAAAAGGACACCCTCCTGGCCCTTCCCTTCTCCGTAAAGCCACCGAGCTGTGCTGCCCGATGCTTGGAGCGTGCAGGCCTTTGGCATAGAATGGAAAAAATTAAATCCCCAGTACTTTTCAAAGGAAATAGATTCAAAATTTTCAAAAAAGAAAATCAGGGAAAAGGAGAGAAGTCATGTTTAGTTTTAATGTTGTTTGCTTATTATAGAAACTTACTAAATGTACATTTAAATAGGTTTTCAGTGATGGGTATGCAAGAATATTTTTCACTGAAGTCTTCTCAAGTAGCTCCAAATGACATAACTGATGTGTAGCTGCCTGAAGTACCTGGATCATGAGAAGGCTTTAAAGGCAGATATGTCTCCTGCATTTTAAAACAGGACGCTGCGAAATTTTTATCTCCTGTACATGTTTCAGGCAGAATATGAAGTCCTCTTCTATAGCCCTTGATCTTTGGCAATCCACTGTCTAATCACATTTTCTAATCTCAAATTTTTATAAATTATGGACCAAGCCTCAAAAATTTGGAGATGAGCTTAAAAAAATCTTGGGTTTTAAAGCAAATCTGTATTAGGAACTATAATTCTGAGCTGAAAGTCCTTTTTTTTGCCAAGCTTTTCTTTATCATTAAAATGTCAGGAAGCTTGTTTTATACAAGCAGAAATGTTTTGTCTCCAAAACCCCTGTGACACTCAGAGAAGGGAGTTGAGAGGGGTGGGGAATTGGACTGCAGATATGATCGCAAAAGCTGACTATAGTACATGACCAAAATCAAAGTTACAAAGAAATGGAAATTTTGTTTTAAAAAAAGCCTTAGGACTACCCAGTGGGTGTAAAAAACATAGCACTTGATTTTCCAGATTAAAAGACAGTCTCTTTGCTCTTGCCTGTAAATTTATTTCACTATAAATTTTAAAAAAAACCCTTTCTTCCATTCCTTTAATTATTCTTTGTGCCCATATGAAGAATGTTTTAAATTCAAACATAATAAAAGTGATATTGTATTACTTTTATTATCCTAATGATCATAATACATAGACCTTAATGTATGCTTTCTAATGGAATTAAACCAGTGACAGATTATGTTTTTTATGACAGAAATAATATTTTACATGGAATATTTTATGTAGGTCAGTTTAATATATTGAGATTAAATTATTAGTTTCTTTTTTAAAAGGAAAGGAGGGAAATCTCTGGAAACCCACAGGACTAGAGAGAACATTTTCAATTCATACTTTCAATATGGTTTTAATTAAGGTTTAATATCATTTACTGGGTTCTGCTTAAATACCATTTGCTTTTGAGGACTGTGTTAGATAGCCAGCTTGTGTTAGTTTCAGTTTCTTCTTAGGTGGAAAGAAATGGATTAGCATGTGTTGCTCTTTGACCAAGATGCCATCTTCAATTTAGATCTGGGGATGTTCACAAACCTCCCACTATGGAAGGGTTAGAAATGATGCCTCAAATTCTGCAGCACTCCAGTCACAGTGCTAGCTTTCCCACCCCTTGTCCCTCTATACCAGGTTTAGACTAACTCCCACGCTTTGAACAAACCCTCAGGACTTGGAGAGCATTTGCTTCTTGGTGGAAGAGCCTCATAGATCAGTGTGATGTCTGTTCGTGAGTGACTCACGGATCATTTTTCTAAGGGTCTTGCAGCAACTGACGATACTTTCTCACCTCTCCAATGTAGCTGGCTCAGGCATAACTGCAAGTGGTACCGTAATAGAGATGTGTCCCCAGGGTCCTGACAGCACAGGAGTCTGTGAGAGGCATGAGCTGCATCTCCAGCTGCTGGGAGAAAGTCTTTTTGTGTGTGTTGTTGGCAGCGTGTCCAGAGATGAGACTGCAGGCTAGGTAGGTCTCACATGAGACGTGAAGGAGGCCAGAGAAAGAGTAAGTGTGAATCTGCTGCGGCAGCTTGCCTGAGGAGCTGGGCTCAGTCAGGTTTGCTGGAGCTAGGCATGCAGCTGAGAAGCCTTTTGCTTCTGGATGCACAGTTTAGTCCTCAGCCAGTACCGTTAACTCCCTCAAGGCACATACACTGAGCAGATGACGGACTCACAAATAAGTGTACCAGCCTGGGAGCCCCTGGTTTGTGATCTCAGCTTAGCCCTCCTCAGACCTGGTGTGCACAGAATTGGGCTAAGCAGGAAAGAGCTTTTAAGGCACACCGAGGGATGTCCTGTTCTCCCTGTGCCCTCTCCTACATAACTGTGCTCACTCAGTGCCTTGCCTGCAGGAAAGCGGTGCAGAATGTAATTTGGACATAAGATCAAGGAGCAGGAATAGCTCACCTTATGAGAGATTGTAAACAACTCCCAGCCATAACCTACACTGATAATCAGCAATATGTGCCTTGTATTTCTCAGTGCACAGCACTTGCCTTAGTCCCTTCACTTCTATGGCCTCCTGTTTACATGTGGCTTTCTTCTCCCTTTTTCCCCTGTCTCAGGTTTCTCCTCATTGCAGCAGATCGTGGCTAGTTCTGTGGCATTGCAGTAGCCAGGGGTTCAGTGCTCATCATCTTTGGGCCAGCAAATGAAAAAGGAAGCAAGTACCTGGGAAATTCAAGAGGTAGGATGGAAAAAGGAAATGGCTCACAGTGGGTGTCTGAGCAACTTCAGAGTCAAACAAAGAGGCTATGACAACAAAGAGATAACACCCAACGATCCTGTTGGAAACCACTTCTAGAAGCCATTATTAAAAAAAAAAAAAATTTAAAAAGAAAGGTATATTGTCTGGCATTTAGTGTAGCAAAATTCCCAGCTACATGTAAAATTCGTAAGATAGGCACTGCCAGCATCCAGACAGATGGAGTCCTTCCTCAGTCTTCAAATTATAGGCAAAAATCCTTCTTTATAGTGACAGATGAGGACAGGAGTCACTCCTACATGAAAATGGGATTTTTTTGAGTTCCAGTCATTGCCAGACACACCTCTATCCAAGTCCTGTAGATACAGCATTGCCTGCACCTATCCATGTGACACTTGTAGGCACATTAATACATTTTTCCTTGTATTTATTGCAAAGTGCCTTTTGCTGTAGAACATGTCTTGCTGCTCTTGGAACTTGCATCTCCGTCTTCTAAGCAAATGCTACTGTATTAATGGCACTTGTGCCATTTGATTGTTGAGCAGTTACTAGTCAGTAGCTAGGGAGCAGTCATTGCTGACTTCACATCTGTAAGAATGGTTGGTTACCCATATCCTATGTGGTGCACAGTCACCATTCCTCTGGACTCTTGGAAGTGCCTATAGAAAGGTATGGAGGGCTTTAAGGGCCAACAACAACAAAAAAGATAGTAATACCAACAAATTCCTGAGAGGTAACTGAGAGGTACCCTGAGAGGGACTACAGGAGGATAGACCACTGCTGTAGATCTACAGATAACTTTGCTTGCAGAATCCAAGGTAGGAGCAGATAGACAGTGGATGCAAGCTAGTTGGTCTGCATGCCTCAGGTGAGACAAACTACTCTTGTGGGATTCCCCAAGGGTAGGTGATGATTTTCTCTGAATTTCTGCGTAAAGTATAGTAGCGTGAGAGGTGTTCATTAGGTAAAGATGAGGCTTTTGCCACCAGAGGGTGCCTGCCTCTTTACCTGACATCTCAGAGAGCACAGCAACCCTTGTAAACTTTTGTCTTTGTAGCTGCTGCCAGCTCCACCCTCCTCATTAGTCTCAGTGCTAACATGACCCCTGCTGACAGTTTCTGTCCATGAGCCCCACCTCTCCTCTGCACAAAGTGGAGGTGAGTAACCATGAAGAGCCAAGTGGTGAGGATGAGAAAGCCCTGCTTTGGGCTGGCAGAAAGTGTTAGAAGCAGTGGGAGTTAGCAGCATCGAAGTCCTATAAGTGAGAATCACAAAGACCAAAAGTGGCTTGCAGGTAGCATGCACACAGATCAACTTTTTTCTTATACTCTACTGAATTACCATTTTCTATGCAGTGCCAAACAAGATGTTCAGCAGCTCTGCCGTCTCATCTGCAAAGATGCAGATATTTGACTTTGTGGTGTTTTTTGCTGTGTATTTAACTTCCGTATTGTGCACAGCAAAGACCTTAATACCCAGTCTAGGAAATGTTAGATAAAAAACTCATTAGAATACATCACTGTCTCAGCAAATGTTCTTCCACCAAGGAACAGAGCTCTAAACAAAGTTTTAAACAACATATATACAATTAGACTGGGAAGTAAATAATGCCACCAAGCTCAGGGAAAAAGAAAAAGCTCTCAAAGAGGACAGAAAAGAAATATGATAGTTCACTTACGTAAGAGAAGAAATGCCATTAGGACTGATATCCACCTTGTTAGTGAGCTCATTGTGAAGTTTTGACAACAGAGTTGCTTCACTGAAATTTTCAAAATTTAGCCCTTCTGTGGTGTCTTTTAAAGAAAAAAATAAATAGAAGATAAAACGGGTCATGTGACTATATTGGGAAACTACAGTCACATCCTGAGTAGTTACATTTGCAAACATAAGTTCCCTTTTTTGGGTTTAAGTCCAACATGTAAACAAACTCCCCACTTCCACATGTTCTTTGAGAAAGGTGCACAGCCAACAGCCACAGCCTGTTTCAGCTGTTTTGCTTTCTATGGAACTGAAAATGCTAACATTTATTTTACAAAACTGAAAAAGTCATTCTGCAATGAATTGGTCTCTGCTGGTGTCTTCTAAATCCGTGGAGATATAAGTGGATTTTTTGCCTTAGAAGGTAATCTCTCTCAATGTTGCCAGCTTTAGTGTGAGCTCAGCATGAACACCATCATAACATTTTGAGCAGACGAGTACTTGGCTGAACTTTTCCCTTTCAGAATCAGATTTTTCAGGAGAAATTCACCATGGCTGCAAAACGATTGCAAGCCAGTTCCTGGAAAAGAAATTAGGCCTATGAAAAATGTCTTGATGTAGTAGGAACTAAAAAGCAGGAATTTACTAGCAGATGCTGCTTTTGATAGGACTTAAGCTTATTCTTTGAGCCGTAGTGAAAAAACAGAATTTTCTGTTCTTCGGGAGAATTCATGATTTCAAACAAGTTAACCTGCTCTAGTACTGAATGACAGCAAAACATATAAGTAAATATTAATGTTTCTACTAAGTGAACTTATTCCGCTCAACTCATTTCAGATCCATTCGTCAGAGGGGAAAGGCACAAAAGCATAGGCCTCATTTTTTTGCAACAGAAGTCTCGGGAGCGTCTATTGCTATTACCTCTTGCCTCTTGATGTACCTTTGTGCTTTAGATTAGTCCTGTGTTGTCTGGTATCTTCATCTCATGTAGATGATTCTATATTCCAGCCAAAATAATCTTAAATGCATCTTGAGTGAGAAGCTTTGAGAGAAAAAACTCCTGGGCATTTCTTTTTTCCTGCTGTTGGTGAGGGAGTGTTTGAGGAATCTGATCTCTGAAGAATCTCACATCTTTAAGGCTGGACAAAATATCTGTCTTGCTCAGTAATTACAGTTGTAAACCCTTCCTTCAGAAGTCTATTTTTACTGGGACCATTGTCGTCCATAAGGAATGCTGGTGACTTCATGTGTATGGCCACCTTGATGGAAAAATTGCTACAAATGATCAACATGTTCACAAGTGTTTAGATGCTCTGATAAGCTGTGAGTGAAAATTTGTGTTTATGACTTCCAGGTGTTTGTGGAGGGATAAGTAAAACACAGTGCTAGCCAACAAATAAGACTCTAAAGGCACTAAAAATATAAATAAAGATGACACATGTATTTGACGACCCACTCTGAGGTGGCCTTAATTCCTAGTTTATTCTGCTGTATAGCTAGAACTGGCTGTGGTAGGTGTGAGAGAAAGTATTTGTTAATACTTTGACTCACTGTGACTGATTGCACACATACATATGTGTGTAATTGAGTTTTGCTGTTTCACTACTTCCAGTTCTTTCTGGAATGAGAGTTGAGAAGAGCAAGCAAACAAAAATCTCTGCAGCAGCTGGACAGAAAAGATCAGCATCCTCATAAGAAACCCCCAGTGTTTTTGTACCTCGTGTTTCATCTGCAAATGATCCCATGCTCCAGGGTTCATGAGAACCTCTTGTGGAAGGAATGAATGTCAACACTCTCTTTTTAAAAAACTTTTCTTTTTCCTCTTTTTGTTTTGTTTGTTTGGTTGGTTGGTTTGTTTCCCCTTGTCCATCAGGGAGCTCAAGGCTCTCCAAACATCTCGTCAACTAAACATCCGAGTATTTGGCTGAAGTCTCTAAAGCTGCTTGGTTTATTCTGTTGCTACTTCTCCACAAAATGCTTCAGATAGTTCAGCTAGTTGACTGCACATGGCTGACTAGATATGCTTCACTATTCTTATTCACAGCATACCTCCAGTGAGGAAAAGCACTGATCAGAATAAGCCAAGCTTAATAAAATCCTGCTTTGTCGTAGGTTTATTCTGATTCTTGACCAAACTGGGAAATGTGGTTTCAAGCATAGTCATCATTATGAGACTTCTCTCTATTACCCACTTTCCACTATTCGGCCACTGGGCAGGATATATATGTTTAATTAATTCTGCTTTTACCTTCGACCTGTAAATAGTGGGAGTAATGTCAGATTTATACGTTATATGAATAACAAGGATTTCTCAGGAGACCCTATCCTGGTGAAAGAGGCTAACTGTAATTTTCAGCTGTGAGTAATTGTATATAATATAATCCTAAATGATTTTTCTTCTGTAATTTCATTAGAGTTTAGAAATTTAATTAGATTTTGAATCACTCTGAAATAAAGTAGCAAAACATCCAGAGACTAAGAGCACTGGTTATTTTGTCCTCTGAGGCCAGAATTCTTGGTCTCAAATTGGCATGTGTTCATTAGGAGGAAGTTTGCAGAAGTTCTTGATATATTATTGTCTTTCGGAATGGACTCTGAATAGGCCTTTGGAGAGCATTAGAAGAGCACACAATTATTATACTGACTCTTTTTGAGGTTTAAGATCACCTGCCTTGCATATACTTAATAAAATTATGCCTCTAAAGTTGTTTAAGAAACTGTGGAGATAGGAAAGATGCTCCTCCAGTGCCTCGGTGCTCTTCCTGGTTTATTAGCAACTCCAGTACCTGCGTATGATGATACAGAGAGGAATTGTTTGCTTTACTTTAATGATTAGGTAGGTTTCTCGTTCTTTTTATTGCTACACATATGAACCGTCATGGTGACTGTAATTAGAGGCACCCTAAAATGCTGTTCCTTCTCTTCCATCCGAGAGTCAAAGGAAATCTGTCCTTTTGAAATTTTCGAACTTTGATTCTCTGTGGAATTCATCGCATGTGCAAAAAAATAGAATCTAACTGCGCTAAAAAGGACAAAGCAAAGATCATTGCAACAACTTATGACTGCCTGGGGTGCCAGGATGGTTATGATGGATTCAAAAAGAGGATCCTCTTAAAAGATTCTGAGGGGCTCGATATGAAAGTGCTTGTTCTCTTTTTGTTTTAGCTGGTGTAACACGATTTGTGTTTGTGGAAATGCCCAGGTTTATGCTGCTCAGCTAAATAAAAGGTATTTGGGCATTTAGGAGCATATTCTCCAAAGTCTTTACCTACATAGCAGTGCCTCTTTTCTCATTGGGATTAGTTGCTTGAACTAGGACTGTCTGCATCATTTTCTGAGAGTAGGTCCTTAAAGGGCAAAGGATATAAAAAAATTAAGGAGTTAAGTAGAGAGGAGGAAATATAAGGAACCATAACAGAGCATTAATTAAAGAATCTAACAGAAATCAGCAAGGGGAGAGAGAACAAATGCTGTGAAATGAAGAATTTCAGCAAGAAAAAATCAAATTAACAAAAAAAAGTTCTCTTTAAATAATGGCAGTCCAATGTGTTTGAAAATAAAGAGGAAACTCCAATGCAATGGGATGCCTGTCAGTCCCAAGTAACGAAGGCTCCAGAATGTCCAGGGTGTTCTGTAACCGTTGCTTACATCCTCTGGATTGGCCACTGCTGGAGTGGAATGGTTCATTGTTCTGATCCATGGGGTCATTTCCTTTGCTTCATTAACAGCTCTTGACAAGAGCTCATCATCAGATAAATCCAGTCCTCGGGCTCAAATGTATGCTTTCAGAGCATGGCAAAGCAAGTCTTGAAGTCTGATTGAAACAGATTCTTGGAAAAAGATTGAAAGTTTTTGTGCACTTGGATTGGTGGATATCACTGGAGATTAGGCAGCCTCAGGGAAGTGTGGTGTGCGTGGGTATGCTGCCTTGCATTAACATGTTGTGTCACATCATGGAACAAATTGAAGAAAACATGTTCAGGCTGGTTACTACCAAAAAACAAGGTGCTTTTGCAGTGGGCATCCGGAACAAATGGAAACTATGCTTGAAAACTCACAGCTGCTCGTCCTTTGCTATTTTCTCCATCTCCTCCTCTGTCAGGACTCTGAGCTGCTGGGACAACTGGGAGGGATTCCACATCTCAGCAAACAGCAGAATCACAGATGTAGAGTGTCTTAACAAAGGGAAGCATGCCTCCACCAGTTATTTAATGCCTTCCTCCCTTGACATTAAGCAATACTATGGGAAACCATTAAACATTTCAGTCTCGCTCTGTTTTCTTCCCCTCCATCTCTGTTTCCTTTTGAAAAAATGTGTTATGTTACAGAGATACTGGTACATTTTTAAAATGTATTTTCTTGATTTAACTTGAGGAACACTATGGCTTGGTCCTATTGCCAACTGAGGTGCAAAGACACAAAGAAAAAAGCCTTGGGACATGTGTACTCAAATGTCTCTTGTGCAACGTCAGGGAAGAAAATGCCAAAGTAGTCCACGGATCAGCTGAGCAGTCTATTCATTTGCAGATGTCCTAGATCTTGCTCTCTTCTTAGGTTTATGAAACTGTGTGGTGACCCTCTTGGAAGTTACAACTTTTACTTGACTTAGTTGCTTCCATACTGGATGTATTTGTATTATTCACTCAGATGGTCTGCAGCTATGCATCATTATTCTTTGCTTCCCAGTGAAGAGGACTTTTTGTATTTCTAAACCAGACTGATTCTCTGTTACCCTGCAAGAGGGAAAAAAGGATATTGCAACAGAAGGCAGTTTCTTCCATGGTGAAGAAAAGTGCCTGCACATCGCTTTGAGAAGTTGTGTATAATTTGGGTTAAGACATAGCATTGAGTATATTATGTGCTCAGATTAAACACAGGTACATATGACATAAATTTGGCATAATCCTGCCACTGTGCCATAGGCATGGTCTGGGATCCTGGGGAACCCACTGTCAGTGTTTCCTGATGACACAGCTTATAGCTCAGACTTGAGTACAGACAACAGGAGCATTCATGGTTCCTCTTCTCTGCT